TTGTAGTTTGAACCTAATTTTAACTTACTGCTATAATTTATACGATAATTTGAATCTATAATATTGTTGTCAATAAAACCATTTAATACTTAACCACATTTATTTGACATTATTCAAATCCTATTAGTCAACGACTTGTGCCATTTTGGGGATGTTACATTATTATCATGAAAATAGAATATGTAATATTGATATTAAAAAATAATGATTTTATTAATAATATTAATTATACATTTGATCACGATTTACCGTACCTTTTCCAATGTGACATAAATAGATATGTCGTTTAGTCATTTTATTTTGTAAATAAATACTATGGTGTATTAATAAATCTCGTCAATAGATATGTGAAGAACAGCATTTTTCAACTTACTTATAGATCTCACTATTGTGTATAAAAAAGTATACATTTTTTGATACCTTGGCAAAAAAATAAAATAAAAATAGGTCAAGTGGTATGGAAATTTTTTTAAATGTGTCTGTAGTACTCGGTTATAAAAAGATTGTAAACCACAGGTGTAGAGGATAACTACACTGATTTTAATAAAATTACTGCTACTTTGTTCTACTTGTTGTACTTTGTTCTGATACTAGAGTGTGTTTCTTGCCACATGAAGTTTTATGTTCTCTTAATAAATTACTTGAAACTTAAACGTATTATTTTGTCTTTTTTTAAATGAAAGATAATATTAAATAGTTATTAGAGATTTGGTATAATATATTATAATATAATATAATATTTATTATTTATAATATTAAAACTTTAACATTATTATCCTTAAACAATGTAAATAAGGGCTATGCTTGTAAATTTGTCAAAATAAACTAAATAGTAAATATTATATCCTAGAATTTTAGCATACCCTGGCATGCTGCGAGGTGTTCGACAGGTAGAAAGAGCACCTATTCATATAATTGGCACTTTTGAGCCTTTGGGATTTAGTGTCACATATTTTGGAGTCTCTGGACTTCTGAAAAGCTATAGTGGACTTCACGGAAGTCATCATTGGAGCGAAGGAACTGGCAGAGCCGCCGCAGAGCGGCAGTGGCAAACTACAGCCGTCGTAGAGCAACTTCCGGTTCGGTTCCAGCAGTAATCAAGACGAAGATGAAACCCACAGGATAGAATAAAACAAATAGGTTAAGCAGAAAAAACGTAGGGGTTAAACCGTGGGGGATGTTCCATAATAGCTCTAAACAAGCTGTAACCCTGATGAGAGGGGCTTAACTGTGGGGGATTGTCCCTCAGTCGCCCTAAACTAATTTTCTGTGACGTTTTTTAATAAACAATGGCCACCTGCCACCTGAAGTAATGTCTCACTGCGTTTCCAAGTGGTTGGTGTATTATTGATTGAATAAAAGTATTTTAGCATTTTTGTTTTTAAAATGTTTTGGTCAATATACCTAGGTATTGTGTCAATTATAAAATGTAAGTTACCTATATATTAAGTGACTTTTTTGCCTCTTTAGATATTTTGTTCGTACTAGAAATATATAATTCGAAACTATAATTTTAATAGTAGACTCTAATAAGAGTGAGATAGAGTGTTAGTTTGTTGTGCAAATAATAAATAACTATAAAATCATTAGTTTAAAATAGTTTTATTATAAAATTAGATATAATATAATATTATGATATCTAAAACGTCAAATAAATTTCGACATTTTTTTTTAAAAAACCAAATGCAATTCTTGTTTTAATGTTATACACTTATACCATTGATTATACTGATATTTTTCAAAAATAATTAAATAAAACCGATTTTCTTCTCAGTTTACATTTTTGAAGAGCACATCAGTTCTGCAACCAGCCACAAAAGGTTTACTTGGAATTTATTTAAAAATAAATTAATACCTATATAATATAGCTTAATAAAGACTCCATAATGAAAAATATATATTTATAATTATTTACTATTTAGTATTTCTATTGTTGGATGTTGGATTCACAATCCATAATTATAAAAGTAATAATGATAATAAAAATGTTGACAGTACCGTGATCGGTATATAAGACAATACCATTGTAACGCCATGCGTCGTGCAATGTGTGTGTGTGTGTGTGTGCGTGTGGGTGGTTCAGTATACGAAAAGGGATTTTGTAGACGACGTGAGATTCGATAGGTAGATGCAGGTACATGCGTGTTTACTGTATAAATATATATATATATAAACTTGGCATACTTGAACACTATAACAACAATGCGATTACGATAACCGGCTGCACAATGTTCTATTGTAAAATAGTTCATTAAGCGACAGACGAAGAGAGATTAAGTGAAGTGAACGGCAACGGTCGATATTGTATTATAATGATAACACGCGACGCAGGCTTTTATCAGTGTACAATAGGCTCGATCTGCATATAATTGTTATTATTTATTTAAAATAATATTTAATTAATTAGGGATTCGAATATATATAGGATGGTTTATCAATCTTTAATTCTTTAATTATTTAAAATCTTTAAACATACCTACTTAAAACCTCAAATTATTTAGATTTTTTTTTTGTTTTACTTAACCAGTGTTCTGTAGTTCTGTGGAGGTAAACATTTGATTTTTTCAAACATAAACCCCTTTTTATACTGTAAATTATTGGGTAACATTATTTTTGAAAAAAGTATCAATATCAAGATTTGAACAAGTAGTTGTTAAGTTATTTAACTTTGCGTGCATATACACTCATTATACCTATTATTCACAGATCTTCAAAAATGGATTTGGATTATATAGGGCTATTAATATTAATCTGACCACGTTTATAATTTGTAAAAATGGTCCAAGTATAATAAGTAGCCTAAGACTAAATCCAATATTACATCTATTTTATATTTTTGTAAAACCGTTTTAAAGATATCTCTAATATGATTTTAATAACTGAAGAACTATTTGTTCGAATTTTGTATTGGGTACATAAACATTTCTCAAAACAATTATCTGCATAATATAATAATTTACAGCTAACAAGTAGATTTTTCATTTGAAAATAATGAGCTTGTACTATCACAGAATACTTTTTAAGTGGTTTAAAAAATTTTAAGAACTCGAAAATATAACCTTTAAGTAGGTATACATATTTAAATATTCCAAAAATTAGAATTTGAATAAATTATTATTTATGAAAAAAAATGAGGTTGAGTATGCTTAGTAAATTTTCTATGTACCTAATAATATTAATATTCGAAGAATAGAATAACTTACCCTAGCATAGTTTTTACTAATAAAAAATTACTATACATAGAATAAAATGTAAACAATACAGATTACAGACCCAATATCGGCAATATCTACGAGTTTTGTTAAGTTTCGCGTGTCGTGGTGTGTTTGTCATACGGACGATTTATAATAATAATATATATCATGTTTATAGAATATCGATAAGAACAGCGGGTATAACATAATTTTATGGTTTCACTAGGATAACTTCATTTTTATGAATCACAAACAAATATAATTTATTACATTTGCTTGTACGCGTTTTTAAAACATAAACGCGTGAGCATAAATCGTCCAAACTATGTAGTCTTACTGTCAGACTTGTTATTACACGTCTGCGTGCACACATTTTGTGCGCATGGCAAATGTTAATATTCAGTTGATTATCCTTTATGTGTATGACATATTAGATGTGTATGATATATTAAATATATATATTATATGAATATGATTTGACCTGGACAATATCGTGTTTAAGACAAATCAATACATGCGTGGCTTATAAATTATTTTGTCCAGCGTGAATAATATACCTACTGATAAAACCGTTAATACTAAATATGGTATTACGTGTTTCTTTTACAACACATTGTTAATTGCTATTTGCTGTTCATCGGATATAAAATTGGGGAATTTTAAAATTTCATAAAAGCGACTAACCAATGTCAACACGGATTTCAGTGGCACATAGAAAAATATAGACGTTGAAATGTCTTATTAATCGGATCACGATTATAATAAATTGTACGTAGTTTTTCGAAACCATGTCTTCGTAAATTATTTAAATGTCTTAATATTACATTTTTAAAATAAGCCATATTGAATTGTAAATTATATTAGAACCTTGTTTTTATTAATTATACGTTAAAGATGCGAATATTATTAATATATCATATACTATAATATGATATAAAACGGCAGCTGATGCAGCTTAACGATACCATTAACATTTTAATTACAGCAAAACTCTACAATATAAGGTAGGATTTAAACTTATTTCACTCCTAGGTAAGAATTTTTCCCGCCTTAAAATATAAACGATAATTTATATACATACAATAAACATATTATACAATAATATAATTAGGTATTAATAAGCATTGATCGCGAATGAATTAAATTTCTCTTCAAGATAATGTTATAAAAGTAATATTCTATAATATAAGAATATATAATATTAATTTTAATAAAAATATAACTATTGCTAAGTTCTTGAACTACTTAGAATTAATAAAACGTTAATGATTTACATAATGCCATTATTAATAAAATAATTTTTTAGTACAGATTTAATAAATTTGAATATTTAAGTTACTTGTTTTAGTGTAAATATTAAAATACGTATATTATTTGTAGGGTAGTGTAATTTGACACATTTTTATAAAATTTACATCTGCAAGAAAGTACCCACTCGACCCCATTTTGATGTGGCAAACATTATATTTACAATAAAAGAAGAGGTATATTTTGTTGTTTTGATTACAATTTAATTGATTCGTCTATGTAGTATGATTTCGTCGTAATATATATTATATCATATTATACAGTTAGTCTTAGCTAAAATATCAATAGATTTTGTTATAATATGCATAATTTAAAATGTTTTTATTTTAATAATGTATTGAAAATATTCTGGAAGATTGATAATAATTACTTTCAATTCACGTTTATAACATCGAAGTTAAAATTTTTAGGATCTAAAGTATCATACAAAAATTATTTGAATCAATGTGTTATTAAATTATTCTGAACAAAAAAATGTATAAATAAAAAAAAACTAACCGTTTCCATTTGACATGTTTTCGCTGTCCGGAGGTCGTAATCTATGACTATAATGTTGAACCCTGTGTTGATGTATGCTGTTCAAAATTATATTACTGGACGTCCGAGACAGGGCTTGTCGTTGTCGAACGGCTTCTTTATAGATCCTAAAAAAAATAATTCATAAACCACTTATTGACTAACCACAATAAAAATTTAAATTAAAATAATTTTAGAATTTAGTAGTTATGGTTTTAGAATAGTTGTAAAAATAAAAAGATTAAGTGAGGTAATTACAAATTAATTATGCAAATTTAGTAAAAAAAAAATAATAAATATTTAACACTATTATAAATATACATGGTTTATAATATTATATTGTTTTGTGTTTAAAATTTAGGTATTGGGTCACAAAAAAGTAATAATTTTTTATATTTTCCAAAAATGTCGAACATTTTGAATACAGATTTACTTTTTCGTTTGTAATCATAATTTTTTTAATGTCTATACTGAATACTGTATACTATCAGTTATTTCAGATAGTCTGAATATTTGTATTTCATTTTAATCGAAAAGTTTGTTTTCTCTATCATAGTAAAATTTTCATCTTTCTAAATAGTGATTTGAAAAGGGTCTATGTTTAAAGATTCATGAGATTACGATCAATTGTTCAGACACTGGATTCAGTGACGTATTTAGGTTTTTGCCATAGAGAGGGGGGGAGGATATTACTTTATATATGAAGATACTAATGAGAATATTGTACAATTATAATATTTTAATTCTTGCAAATTTAATTAATTATTGAAAAAAAAAATATTAATAATTTCTTAAATAATATGATGACTATAATTATTTGTGTACGTATATGCAGCCTATGGGGGGGGGGATTCATCCCTTTGATCCCCCTTTTAAATACGCCACTGACTGGATTACAATAATACATCTATAGGTACTGCATATGAGTCTTGCAGGTAATTTGGAGGATTACAAATAGGTAAAGTTCTCTAACGGTTCTAACCTTGATCATAATCTGATTATCTAATTATACAAATATTCAATTCAAAATTGTATGTGTTACCGTATATATAGTCATTAGATTAACTCCTAATGTTAATATATTTAATAAATAAGATCTATTTGAATTTTTTTTTTCTGACAAAGACGAATAAGTGCTGTTGGCGGGGTGAAAGCTCATTTTTAGGAAATAATCTCAATACCAGCTTATCTATTTAACCTGTAACTATTTACAAAAACAGTAGTTTGATAAGTAATAATGAGATTAAACAGCATGAATGATATATTGTTTTATCTTGGGATTGTAATAAATAAAATGTTGTAAATTGTAAGAATTATATAATAAAATCTTAAAATAGATCCATAATTATTCAGAAATATAAAAACAGAAGATAATATCGTTGTTTTTATTGTTCAATTTTAGACATTTATTTAATAATCTATAAAGTATGAAGTATTATGTAATTTATTTGTATTAATTGATATTTATTGACAGGCGTAAACCCAAATTATAGTACAATAATAAATATAGGGCAATTCACCAAGCATTTTTTCCTTAATTAATTAATTCATCGACATTTTGATAATTTAATTTTTTAAATTTATTTAAGACCATAATTTTAAATTTTCAGATTTTTTGTTTTACTTAAAGAATGTCTCCTTTTTTTTTTACTAGACATTATAAAGTGAATAATTTTTTATTAAAATGTTGACGTATTCAACTAAAAATTCAAATGAGTAGGTAATTTCTTAGTTGTTAAGATAACTTACTAAAGATAATAGTCTTTAAAAATGGTTTCAAAATATAAAACATATGTTATTTATTGGATCTATAACTTATTGCACTTGAAAACATTTTTAAACGATAGATTGACATTTATTTAAAACATTTTCAAATCACCATAGTCTCTAAATATTCTAAATCCATTATATTACTGACCTTGAACTCAATAACTATTCAGTCGAATTTTGATGTCAAATTTTTCAGAAAGATATTCGCTTAATAATTTACAATACAAAAAAAATAGTTGAGAACTCATTTAAAAAACATAATTTTGAATATCTACAGAAAACTGTAATATTACAATTTTTTTTTTAAATTTCAAAATATTGTTTTAAAAATTGCAAAAACCAAGTATTGAATAATTTCATTCTTGGAGAAAAAATAGTTGAGAAATTTTAGTGAATCACTTAATGTATATTTATATTATATTATATTATTGAAATATTCAATATTTCTAATAATTTGAAACTTTTATTACTTTGTTCTCACAATAACATGTAAAAACTTTTTAACTCATATATTTGATAATTCCACTTTTTATAATATTAGTAATAGTCTTTGTTATTACTTATTATCACAACTGTCATATTAAATAGTTTTGTTTTATTGTATTGTTTATCAGATTTCTTACGATCAGTTCTACCTGCATTGTCTCACCACCGTTTTCATTAGTCACACCGTAAATATAATTAAAGATATGCTGCGCTTTTCACCCCTCTTGTCCATATTCATTACATATTTTTCAACTAAAATCTTTTTATGTATATAATATTATAATCTTGTATACAAAAAATGGTTTTGATCAAAAATGCCGTGTTAGCTATTTTATTAATTTTTTTTATTAGTAAATCGTTAGATTTTGCTAATGTTTGTCAAAAATAATTTATTGAATAGGTAACGAATAAAAAATGTTACGATATTATACCATATATAATTAATAGCTGTTATTAACTTTTAAGTCAATACCAACTTACCATAGAATGATTTAAACAGTTTTATAGAAAAAATTGCTTAAATATTAATTTAAATATTTTGAAAATTGCATTGTGTATAATATACATTTATTATTGTAGATAGTGAGAAGTTTCAAATACCTATGAATAATATTTTTTAAATTATAACGTTATTTTTCATTTAAATATCCTATTTCATCGAGATTCTAACTTTACATTTTTGCAAAAATTAGAAATGTTGAGAATTTTAGATTTCTTTAGCAAATGAAATTGAAAATGGTATACATTTTTATAATTAAAATAATTTGTATATTTTTATGATTTAAAACGCTTATGTAAAAATTTTACCTATTTTAAAGAAGCCTAAAAATTGTTAACAAATTACTACCAATAAAGCTATTAATTTTATTTTATTTTTTTTGTACAAATACATTATATTGTAATGGGTATATTATTATTGTAATTTACTAAGTATTTTCTTATCATGTATTTAAGAATAAATATTTGCATAAATTTACTTATTATTATAAAAACTGAATTAGATTAAATAATCAAATAACGAGAAAGGTTGAGCATGATTTGCGGAACAACCTATGTATAAAACTTATTTTGTACTTGAGCTTTATAGAAATTAAATTATATGAATAACAGAAAATACAAAAATACTACTAGATTACAAACGATAAGAAGCCAGAAAGCCATGTTGAATTGAATGATTTAGATTAAATTTTTGTTTAATGGAAAACACACATTTAATTATAATGAATTTGTAAAGATGGGCTATAAAGTAGTTGAAAGTTAATTTTTTTCTAACTATTTTATTTAATAGTAAAAAATATTTACGATCATATATCAACTTAACTTTATTTCACTTGAATCGATTAATTTTATTTACTTGCCTATCTTTATTTTTATTTGTATAATATGTGCTACACAAGTTACAATTGTATTTATTATTAACCTCGCCATGAATGAGGAAAAACGTTTGAGAAATATAGATGTTGCATTAATTTAAATCGTAGAAATTAACTAATTGTTATAAATATTAATAGAAACCATCATATTAAAATTTTAAAGGCAATCAAAATAATAAAACTTCGATAACTCACTATGTAAATGGAGTAATTCAGCACCATGACTCAATAATAATAGTCACGAGTAAAGAATAAAAAATGACTAATAAAATATTATTTGAAAAGAACAGATTTATAACATTACTGTGCAAGAAAAGTTTGTGAAAAATTAATTAAAATTTAAAAACGAATTTTAATGTTTAGAATATAATAATTTAAATATTTTATATCATTATTTTTTTATTTTATTCAATAGTACAAATATATATCATTTTTGCACTTGGAATACGTATAACGACGTTTTATCATACAGATGTAATGGATATATAATATTATAATATTCTGAATACAGATATAGAATTTTGAGTACTTATTTAAATTTTTATATAAAATTAAATAAATATAATATTCATGATTAATTGGGTGTATTTGGTTCTTGGTTAGTTAATAATTATATCATTTTAACCATCACACGTCTGAATATCTGTAATATTTTTTCAATTTGTACCTGTTTTGTCAGATTTTATTACATGTATACAGAACTCGATATTCGTTTATTTTTTTCGATCGTTGGTTCAGAATGCTTTCATTGCAATCTCTAATGATCTTCTTGAGAAATAATGGGAATCCGGAATTCTAATAATACCCGTCCAATCTACGCGTAATTTCCGATTGACTGTTTTTATATATGTATGAGGTATAAATGAAAGAATCGGGCAAACACATTAACAACGTGCTAGAAGTGGTTTCAGTAGGGAAAAAAAATAATAAGAAAAAAAATTGTGCACTAACGGAAAAACCAATAACTTTGCAGTTCTGCTTTATAATAAGGACCTTACGGGAGAAAAAACCAAAGGGACTCACAGGTCGGGGTAATTGCGACGCACTAGTATATTAGTATAATATGTACCTTTTGTGAATTAATACATAGGGCTAGTAAATGTTTGTAAATATGACAAATTTTAATTTCAGCAATCGAAAAAAAAAAACCGATGTATTTTTTTAGTTTATTATGTAATGTGCAAGAAAATTAAATTCGTATAGATAACATACAGAGAATCTCAACGTGAATAAAAAGACGAAATAAAAATAATTAATTTTATTTTATTCTTGGTTTTAGTAAATAATACTTATTTTCTTATTACTCTGATACCAGTATTAAATATGATTCAAAAAATTATATATAAATAAATAAAAAAAATTATAATCTAGTAACAAAATTTTATGGTTTGTTGAACAAAATAAAAGAGCTAAATTTAATAATTGTCAGAAAAAAAATAAAATACTCAGCCCAGAAGACAGTAACGTTAAACGTTATTTATTACAGTCTAATAAAATAC